AGGGGGTTACCAGGGGTTACATGGGGTTACAAAGGGTTACAGGGGGTTACAGGACGTTACAAGGGGTTACAGGGGGTTACAAAGAACTATAGAAACTTTTTTCTAAGTAGAACGTTCCGAAATACTTTTTCTTGGTTGATTTTGCATAAAAATTAAAGTTGAAGAAATCTTAAATTTTTGAGCCAAGTGATGGACTAACCCCTTTTGAAAAATTCTAACTTTGCGTTTTTCATAAAGAGTTGTTCTTATGGTCTTTAAAGGCGTCTTTTTTATGTAGAACGTCAGCAAACAGTTTTTCTAAATCTATTTTTGATAAACACAAAATATGGAAAAACTTGAACTTTTTGACCAAAATCATGGACTATCCCCTTTGAAAAAATGCCAATTTTGCGTTCTTTTTAAATCCATGTTTGTATTGTCTAAAAACGCTTGTTTACTAACGAGAACGTCACCAAATAGTTTTTAAGCTGTAATTTAGTTAAAACGAAACGTTAAAAAAATTTCAAATTTTTGACCAAAACCATGGACTAACCCCTTTGGAAAAATGCCAATTTTGGGGTTTTTGAAAGCGATGTTTTCATTGTCCAGAAAGACTTGTTTGGTATATAAAAGATCAAAGATCGTTTTTCACGATTTATTTTCACGATCTATTACATGGGAATACAGGGGGTTACAAGGGGTTACATGGGGTTACAAGGGGTTACAGGGGGTTACAAGGGGTTACAAGGGGTTACAGGAGGTTACAAGGGGTTTCCGGTGGTTACAAAGAACTATAGAAACTTTTTTCTAACTAGAACGTTCCCAGAGAGTTTTTCTTGGTTGATTTTGCATAAAAATCGAAGTTCAAGAAATCTTTAATTTTTGAGCAAAGTGATGGACTAACCCTTTTTGAAAAATTCTAACTTTGCGTTTTTCATAAACAGTTATTGTTATGGTCTTTAAAGGCGTCTTTTTTATGTAGAACGACAGCAAAGACTTTTTCTAAATCTATTTTTGATAAACACAAAATATGGAAAAACTTGAACTTTTTGACCAAAATCATGGACTATCCCCTTTGAAAAAATGCCAATTTTGCGTTTCTTTTAAATCCATGTTTATATTTTCTAAAAACGCTTGTTTACTAACGAGAATGTCACCAAATAGTTTTTTAAGGTGTAATTTGGTTAAAACGAAACGTTAACAAAATTTCAAATTTTTGACCAAAACCATGGACTAACCCCTTTGGAAAAATGCCAATTTTGGGGTTTTTGAAACCGATGTTTTCATTGTCCAGAAAGGCTTGTTTGCTATATAAAAGGTCAAAGATCGTTTTTCACGATTTATTTTCACGATCTATTACTTGGGAATACCGGGGGTTACAAGGGGTTACATGGGGTTACAAGGGGTTACAGGGGGTTACAAGGGGATACAGGGGGTTACAAGGGGTTACAGGAGGTTACAAGGGGTTACAGGGGGTTACAAAGAACTATAGAAACTTTTTTCTAACTAGAACGTTCTCAGATAGTTTTTTTGGTTGATTTTGCATAAAAATCGAAGTTGAAGAAATCTTAAATTTTTGAGGCAAGTGATGGACTAACCCCTTTTGACAAGTTCTAACTTTGCGTTTTTCATAAAGAGTTGTTCTTATGGTCTTTAAAGGCGTCTTTTTTATGTAGAACGTCAGCAAACACTTTTTCTAAATCTATTTTTGATAAACACAAAATATGGAAAAACTTGAACTCTTTGACCAAAATCATGGACTATCCCCTTTGGAAAAATGCCAATTTTGGGGTTTTTGAAACCGATGTTTTCATTGTTCAGACAGGCTTGTTGGCTATATAAAAGGTCGAACATCGTTTTTTCACGATTTATTTTCAAGATCTATTACATGGGAATACAGGGGGTTACAAGGGGTTACATGGGGTTACAAGGGGTTACAGGGGATTACAAGGGGTTACAGGAGGTTACAAGGGGTTAAAGGGGGTTACAAGGGGTTACAGGAGGTTACAAGGGGTTACAGGGGGAAACAAAGAACTATAGAAACTTTTTTCTCACTAGAACGTTCCCAGATAGTTTTTCTTGGTTGATTTTACATAAAAATCGAAGTTGAAGAAATCTTAAATTTTTGAGCCAAGTGATGGACTAACCCCTTTTAAAAAATTTTAACTTTGTGTTTTTCATAAAGAGTTGTTCTTATGGTCTTTAAAGGCGTCTTTTTTATGTAGAACGTCAGCAAACACTTTTTCTAAATCTATTTTTGATAAACACAAAATATGGAAATACTTGAATTTTTTGACCAAAATCATTGACTATCCCCTTTGAAAAAAAGCGAATTTTGCGTTCTTTTTAAATCCATGTTTATATTGTCTAAAAACGCTTGTTTACGAACGAGAACGTCACCAAATAGTTTTTTAAGGTGTAATTTGGTTAAAACGAAACGTTAACAAAATTTCAAATTTTTGACCAAAACCATGGACTAACCGCTTTGGAAAAATACCAATTTTGGGGTTTTTGAAACCGATGTTTCTATTGTCCAGAAAGGCTTGTTTGCTATATAAAAGGTCGAAGATCGTTTTTGACGATTTATTTTCACGATCTATTACATCGGAATACATGAGGTTACAAGGGGTTACATGGGGTTACAAGGGGTTAGAGGGGGTTACAAGGGGTTACAGGAGGTTACAAGGGGTTACAGGGGGTTACAAAGAACTATAGAAACTTTTTTCTAACTAGAACGTTCTCGGATAGTTTTTTTGGTTGATTTTGCATAAAAATCGAAGTTGAAGAAATCTTAAATTTTTGAGCCAAGTGATGGACTAACCCCTTTTCAAAATTTCTAACTTTGCGTTTTTCATAAAGAGTTGTTCTTATGGTCTTTAAAGGCGTCTTTTTTATGTAGAACGTCAGCAAAGACTTTTTCTAAATCTATTTTTGATAAACACAAAATATGGAAAAACTTGAACTTTTTGACCAAAATCATGGACTATCCCCTTTGAAAAAATGCGAATTTTGCGTTCTTTAAAAACCATGTTTATATTGTCTAAAAACGCTTGTTTACGAACGAGAATGTCACCAAATAGTTTTTAAGGTGTAATTTGGTTAAAACGAAACGTTAACAAAATTTCAAATTTTTGACCAAAACCATGGACTAACCCCTTTGAAAAAATGCCAATTTTGCCTTTTTTTTAAATGCATGATTATATTGTCTTAAAACGCTTGTTGACTAACGAGAATGTCACCAAATAGTTTTTGAAGGTGTAATTTGGTTAAAACGAAACGTTAACAAAATTTCAAATTTTTGACCAAAACCATGGACTAACCCCTTTGGAAAAATGCCAATTTTGGGGTTTTTGAAACCGATGTTTTCATTGTCCTGAAAGGCTTGTTTGCTATATAAAAGATCAACGATCGTTTTTCACGATTTAATTTCATGATCTATTACATGGGAATACAGGGGTTTACAAGGGGTTACATGGGGTTACAAGGGGTTACAGGGGGTTACAAGGGGTTACAGGAGGTTACAAGGGGTTTCCGGTGGTTACAAAGAACTATAGAAACTTTTTTCTAACTAGAACGTTCCCAGATAGTTTTTCTTGGTTGATTTTGCATAAAAATCGAAGTTGAAGAAATCTTAAATTTTTGAGCCAAGTGATGGACTAACCCCTTTTGAAAAATTCTAACTTTGCGTTTTTCATAAAGAGTTGTTCTTATGGTCTTTAAAGGCTTCTTTTTTATGTAGAACGACAGCAAACACTTTTTCTAAATTTCTTTTTGATAAACACAAAATATGGAAAAACTTGAACTTTTTGACCAAAATCATGGACTATCCCCTTTGAAAAAATGCCAATTTTGCGTTGTTTTTAAATCCATGTTTATATTGTCTAAAAAGGCTTGTTTACTAACGAGAACGTCACCAAATAGTTTTTTAAGGTGTAATTTGGTTAAAACGAAACGTGAACATAATTTCAAATTTTTGACCAAAACCATGGACTAACCCCTTTGGAAAAATGCCAATTTTGGGGTTTTTGAAACCCATGTTTTCATTGTCCAGAAAGGCTTGTTTGCTATATAAAAGGTCAAAGATCGTTTTTGACGATTTATTTTCACGATCTATTACATGGGAATACAGGGGGTTACAAGGGGTTACAGGGGGTTACAAGGGGTTACAGGGGGTTACAAGGGGTTACAGGAGGTTACAAGGGGTTACAGGGGGTTACAAAGAACTATAGAAACTTTTTTCTAACTAGAACGTTCTCAGATAGTTTTTTTGGTTGATTTTGCCTAAAAATCGAAGTTGAAGAAATCTTAAATTTTTGAGCCAAGTGATGGACTAACCCCTTTTGAAAATTTCTAAGTTTGCGTTTTTCATAAAGAGTTGTTCTTATGGTCTTTAAAGGCGTCCTTTTTATGTAGAACGTCAGCAAACACTTTTTCTAAATCTATTTTTGATAAACACAAAATATGGAAATACTTGAATTTTTTGACCAAAATCATTGACTATCCCCTTTGAAAAAAAACCAATTTTGCGTTCTTTTTAAATCCCTGTTTATATTATCTAAAAACGCTTGTTTACGAACGAGAACGTCACCAAATAGTTTTTTAAGGTGTAATTTGGTTAAAACGAAACGTTAACAAAATTTCAAATTTTTGACCAAAACCATGGACTAACCCGTTTGGAAAAATGCCAATTTTAAGGTTTTTGAAACCGATGTTTTTATTGTCCAGAAAGGCTTGTTTGCTATATAAAAGGTCGACGATCGTTTTTTGACGATTTATTTTGACGTTCTATTACATGGGAATACAGGGCTTTACATGGGGTTACAAGGGGTTACAAGGGGTTACAGGAGGTTACAAGGGGTTACAGGGGGTTACAAGGGGTTACAGGGGGTTAGAAAGAACTATAGAAACTTTTTTCTAACTAGAACGTTCTCGGATAGTTTTTTTGGTTGATTTTGCATAAAAATCGAAGTTGAAGTAATCTTAAATTTTTGAGCCAAGTAATGGACTAACCCCTTTTGAAAATTTCTAACTTTGCGTTTTTCATAAAGAGTTGTTCTTATGGTCTTTAAAGGCGTCTTTTTTATGTAGAACGTCAGCAAACACTTTTTCTAAATCTATTTTTGATAAACACAAAATATGGAAATACTTGAATTTTTTGACCAAAATCATTGACTATCCCCTTTGAAAAAAAGCGAATTTTGCGTTCTTTTTAAATCGATGTTTATATTGTCCAAAAACGCTTGTTTACGAACGAGAACGTCACCAAATAGTTTTTTAAGTTGTAATTTGGTTAAAACGAAACGTTAACAAAATTTCAAGTTTTTGACCAAAACCATGGACTAACCCCTTTGGAAAAATGCCAATTTTGGGGTTTTTGAAACCGATGTTTCTATTGTCCAGAAAGGCTTGTTTGCTATATAAAAGGTCGAAGATTGTTTTTTTACGATTTATTTTCACGATCTATTACATGGGAATACATGGGGTTACAAGGGGTTACATGGGGTTACAAGGGGTTACAGGGGTTACAAGGGGTTACAGGAGGTTACAAGGGGTTACAGGGGTTACAAAGAACTATAGAAACTTTTTTTCTAACTAGAACGTTCTCGGATAGTTTTTTTGGTTGATTTTGCATAAAAATCGAAGTTGAAGAAATCTTAAATTTTTGAGCCAAGTGATGGACTAACCCCTTTTCAAAATTTCTAACTTTGCGTTTTTCATAAAGAGTTGTTCTTATGGTCTTTAAAGGCGTCTTTTTTATGTAGAACGTCAGCAAAGACTTTTTCTAAATCTATTTTTGATAAACACAAAATATGGAAAAACTTGAACTTTTTGACCAAAATCATGGACTATGCCCTTTGAAAAAATTCGAATTTTGCGTTCTTTAAAAACCATGTTTATATTGTCTAAAAACGCTTGTTTACGAACGAGAATGTCACCAAATAGTTTTTAAGGTGTAATTTGGTTAAAACGAAACGTTAACAAAATTTCAAATTTTTGACCAAAACCATGGACTAACCCCTTTGAAAAAATGCCAATTTTGCCTTTTTTTTAAATGCATGATTATATTGTCTTAAAACGCTTGTTGACTAACGAGAATGTCACCAAATAGTTTTTGAAGGTGTAATTTGGTTAAAACGAAACGTTAACAAAATTTCAAATTTTTGACCAAAACCATGGACTAACCCCTTTGGAAAAATGCCAATTTTGGGGTTTTTGAAACCGATGTTTTCATTGTCCTGAAAGGCTTGTTTGCTATATAAAAGATCAACGATCGTTTTTCACGATTTATTTTCACGATCTATTACATGGGAATACAGGGGTTTACAAGGGGTTACATGGGGTTACAAGGGGTTACAGGGGGTTACAAGGGCTTACAGGAGGTTACAATGGGTTTCCGGTGGTTACAAAGAACTATAGAAACTTTTTTCTAACTAGAACGTTCCCAGATAGTTTTTCTTGGTTGATTTTGCATAAAAATCGAAGTTGAAGAAATCTTAAATTTTTGAGCCAAGTGATGGACTAACCCCTTTTGAAAAGCTCTAACTTTGCGTTTTTCATAAAGAGTTGTTCTTATGGTCTTTAAAGGCTTCTTTTTTATGTAGAACGAAAGCAAACACTTTTTCTAAATTTATTTTTGATAAACACAAAATATGGAAAAACTTGAACTTTTTGACCAAAATCATGGACTATCCCCTTTGAAAAAATGCCAATTTTGCGTTGTTTTTAAATCCATGTTTATATTGTCTAAAAAGGCTTGTTTACTAACGAGAACGTCACCAAATAGTTTTTTAAGGTGTAATTTGGTTAAAACGAAACGTGAACAAAATTTCAAATTTTTGACCAAAACCATGGACTAACCCCTTTGGAAAAATGCCAATTTTGGGGTTTTTGAAACCCATGTTTTCATTGTCCAGAAAGGCTTGTTTGCTATATAAAAGGTCAAAGATCGTTTTTGACGATTTATTTTCACGATCTATTACATGGGAATACAGGGGGTTACAAGGGGTTACAGGGGGTTACAAGGGGTTACAGGGGGTTACAAGGGGTTACAGGAGGTTACAAGGGGTTACAGGGGGTTACAAAGAACTATAGAAACTTTTTTCTAACTAGAACGTTCTCAGATAGTTTTTTTGGTTGATTTTGCATAAAAATCGAAGTTGAAGAAATCTTAAATTTTTGAGCCAAGTGATGGACTAACCCCTTTTGAAAAGCTCTAACTTTGCGTTTTTCATAAAGAGTTGTTCTTATGGTCTTTAAAGGCGTCTTTTTTATGTAGAACGTCAGCAAACACTTTTTCTAAATCTATTTTTGATAAACACAAAATATGGAAAAACTTGAACTTTTTGACCAAAATCTTGGACTATCCCCTTGGAAAAAATGCCAATTTTGCGTTCTTTTTAAATCCATGTTTATATTGTCTAAAAAGACTTGTTTACTAGCGAGAACGTCACCAAATAGTTTTTTAAGGTGTAATTTGGTTAAAACGAAACGTTAACAAAATTTCAAATTTTTGACGAAACCCATGGACTAACCCCTTTGGAAAAATGCCAATTTTGGGGTTTTTGAAACCGATGTTTTCATTGTTCAGAAAGGCTTGTTTGCTATATAAAAGGTCGAAGATCGTTTTTTCACGATTTATTTTCACGATCTATTACATGGTAATACAGGTGGTTACATGGGGTTACAGGGGGTTACAAGGGGTTACAGGAGGTTACAAGGGGTTACAGGAGGTTACAGGGGATTACAAAGAACTATAGAAACTTTTTTCTAAGTAGAACGTTCGGAAATACTTTTTCTTGGTTGATTTTGCATAAAAATCGAAGTTGAAGAAATCTTAAATTTTTGAGCGAAGTGATCGACTAACCCCTTTTGAAAAGTTCTAACTTTGCGTTTTTCATAAAGAGTTGTTGTTATGGTCTTTAAAGGCGTCTTTTTTATGTAGAACGTCAGGAAACAGTTTTTCTAAATCTATTTTTGATAAACACAAAATATGGAAAAACTTGAACTTTTTCACCAAAATCATGCAGCGAATTTTGCGTTCTTTTTAAATCCATGTTTATATTGTCTAAAAACGCTTTTTTACTAACGAGAACGTCACCAAATAGTTTTTTAAGGTGTAATTTGGTTAAAACGAAACGTTAACAAAATTTCAAATTTTTGACCAAAACCATGGACTAACCGCTTTGGAAAAATGCCAATTTTGGGGTTTTTGAAACCGATGCTTTCATTGTCCAGAAAGGCTTGTTTGCTATATAAAAGGTCAAAGATCGTTTTTTACGATTTACTTTCACGATCTATTACTTGGGAATACAGGGGGTTACAAGGGGTTACATTGGGTTACAAGGGGTTACACGGGGTTACAGGGGGTTACAGGAGGTTACAAGGGGTTACAGGGGGTTACAAAGAAGTATAGAAACATTTTTTTCTAACTAGAACGTTCTCAGATAGTTTTTTTGGTTGATTTTGCATAAAAATCGAAGTTGAAGAAATCTTAAATTTTTGAGCCAAGTGATGGACTAACTCCTTTTGAAAAGCTCTAACTTTGCGTTTTTCATAAAGAGTTGTTCTTATGGTCTTTACAGGCGTCTTTTTTATGTAGAACGTCAGCAAACACTTTTTCTAAATCTATTTTTGATAAACACAAAATATGGAAAAACTTGAACTTTTTGACCAAACTCATGGACTATCCCCTTTTAAAAAATGCCAATTTTGCGTTCTTTTTAAATCCATGTTTATATTTTCTAAAACGGCTTGTTTACTAACGAGAACGTCACCAAATAGTTTTTTAAGGTGTAATTTGGTTAAAACGAAACGTTAACACAATTTCAAATTTTTGACCAAAACCATGGACTAACCCCTTTGGAAAAATGCCAATTTTGGGGTTTTTGAAACCGATGTTTTCATTGTCCAGAAAGGCTTTTTTGCTATGTAAAACGTCGAAGATTGTTTTTTTAAGATTTACTTTCACGATCTATTACATGGGAATACAGGGGGTTACAAGGGGTTACAGGAGGTTACAAGGGGTTACAGGGGGTTACAGGGGGTTACAAGGGGTTACAGGGGGTTACAAGGGGTTACAGGAGGTTACAAGGGGTTACAAGGGGTTACAAAGAACTATAGAAACTTTTTTCTAACTAGAACGTTCTCGGAAAGTTTTTCTTGGTTGATTTTGCATAAAAATCGAAGTTGAAGAAATCTTTAATTTTTGAGCAGTGATGGACTAACCGTTTTTGAAAAATTCTAACTTTGCGTTTTTCAAAAAGAGTTATTGTTATGGTCTTTAAAGGCGTCTTTTTTATGTGGAACGACAGCAAACACTTTTTCTAAATCTATTTTTTAAAAACACAAAATATGGAAAAACTTGAACTTTTTCACCAAAATCATGTACTATCCCCTTTGAAAAAATGCCAATTTTGCGTTCTTTTTAAATCCATGTTTATATTGTCTAAAAACGCTTTTTTACTAACGAGAACGTCACCAAATAGTTTTTTAAGGTGTAATTTGGTTAAAACGAAACGTTAACAAAATTTCAAATTTTTGACCAAACCCATGGACTAACCCCTTTGGAAAAATGCCAATTTTGGGGTTTTTGAAACCGATGCTTTCATTGTCCAGAAAGGCTTGTTTGCTATATAAAAGGTCAAAGATCGTTTTTTACGATTTACTTTCACGATCTATTACTTGGGAATACAGGGGGTTACAAGGGGTTACATTGGGTTACAAGGGGTTACACGGGGTTACAAGGGGTTACAGGAGGTTACAAGGGGTTACAGGGGGTTACAAAGAAGTATAGAAACATTTTTTTCTAACTAGAACGTTCTCAGATAGTTTTTTTGGTTGATTTTGCATAAAAATCGAAGTTGAAGAAATCTTAAATTTTTGAGCCAAGTGATGGACTAACCCCTTTTGAAAAGCTCTAACTTTGCGTTTTTCATAAAGAGTTGTTCTTATGGTCTTTACAGGCGTCTTTTTTATGTACAACGTCAGCAAACACTTTTTCTAAATCTATTTTTGATAAACACAAAATATGGAAAAACTTGAACTTTTTGACCAAACTCATGGACTATCCCCTTTTAAAAAATGCCAATTTTGCGTTCTTTTTAAATCCATGTTTATATTTTCTAAAACGGCTTGTTTACTAACGAGAACGTCACCAAATAGTTTTTTAAGGTGTAATTTGGTTAAAACGAAACGTTAACACAATTTCAAATTTTTGACCAAAACCATGGACTAACCCCTTTGGAAAAATGCCAATTTTAAGGTTTTTGAAACCGATGTTTTCATTGTCCAGAAAGGCTTTTTTGCTATGTAAAACGTCGAAGATTGTTTTTTTACGATTTATTTTCACGATCTATTACATGGGAATACAGGGGGTTACAAGGGGTTACATGGGGTTACAAGGGGTTACAGGGGGTTACAAGGGGTTACAGGGAGTTACAAGGGGTTACAAAACGTTACAAGGGGTTACAGGAGGTTACAAGGGGTTACAAGGGGTTACAAAGAACTATAGAAACTTTTTTCTAACTAGAACGTTCTCGGATAGTATTTTTAATTGATTTTGCATAAAAATCGAAGTTGAAGAAATCTTAAATTTTTGAGCCAGGTGATGGACTAACCCCTTTTGGAAAATTCTAACTTTGCGTTTTTCATAAAGAGTTGTTCTTATGGTCTTTAAAGGCGTGTTTTTTATGTAGAACATCAACAAACACTTTTTCTAAATCTATTTTTGATAAACACAAAATATGGAAAAAGTTCAACTTTTTGACGAAAATCATGGACTATCCCCTTTGAAATAATGCCAATTTTGCGTTCTTTTAAATCCATGTTTATATTGTCTAAAAAGGCTTGTTTACTAACGAGAACGTCACCAAATAGTTTTTCAAGGTGTAATTTGGTTAAAACGAAAGGTTAACAAAATTTCCAATTTTTGACCAAAACTATGGACTAACCCCTTTGGAAAAATGCCAATTTTGGGGTTTTTGAAATCGATGTTTTCATTGTCCAGAAAGGCTGGTTTGCTATATATAAGGTTGAAGATCGTTTTTTGACTTTTTATTTTCACGATCTATTACATGGGAATACAGGGGGTTACCAGGGGTTACATAGGGTTACAGCGGGTTACAAGGGGTTACAGGTGGTTACAAGGGGTTACAGGAGGTTACAAGGGGTTACAGGGGGTTACAAGGGGTTACAGAAGGTTACAAGTGGTTACAGGGGGTTACAAAGAACTATAGAAACTTTTTTCTAACAAGAACGTTCCCACATACTTTTTCTTGGTTGATTTTGCATAAAAATCGAAGTTGAAGAAATCTTTAATTTTTGACCAAAGTGATGGACTAACCCCTTTTGAAAAAATTCTAACGGGTTTTTCATAAAGAGTTGTTCTTATGGTCTTTAAAGGCGTGTTTTTTATGTAGAACGTCAACAAAAACTTTTTCTAAATCTATTTTTGATAAACACAAAATATGGAAAAAGTTCACCTTTTTGACCAAAATCGTGGACTATCCCCTTTGAAAAAATGCAATTTTGCGTTCTTTTTAAATGCATGTTTATATTGTCTAAAAAGGCTTGTTTACTAACGAGAACGTCACCAAATAGTTTTTCAAGGTGTAATTTGGTTAAAACGAAAGGTTAACAAAATTTCCAATTTTTGACCAAAACTATGGACTAACCCCTTTGGAAAAATGCCAATTTTTGGGTTTTTGAAATGGATGTTTTCTTTGTCCAGAAAGGCTTGTTTGCTATATAAAAGGTCGAAGATCGTTTTTTCACGATTTATTTTCACCATCTATTGCATGGGAATACCGGGGGTTACCAGGGGTTACAGGGGGTTACAAGGGGTTACAGGGGGTTACAAGGGGTTACAGAAGGTTACAAGTGGTTACAGGGGGTTACAAAGAACTATAGAAACTTTTTTCTAACGAGAACATTCCCAGATACTTTTTCTTGGTTGATTTTGCATAAAAATCAAAGGTGAAGAAATCTTTAATTTTTGACCAAAGTGATGGAGGAACCCGTTTTGAAAAATTCTAACTTTGCGTTTTTCATAAAGAGTTGTTCTTATGGTCTTTAAAGGCGTCTTTTTTATGTAGACCGTAAGCAAAGACTTTTTCTAAATCTATTTTTGATAAACACAAAATATGGAAAAAGTTCAACTTTTTGACCAAAATCATGGACTATCCCCTTTGAAAAAATGCCAATTTTGCGTTCTTTTTAAATCCATGTTTATATTGTCTAAAAAGGCTTGTTTACTAAGGAGAACGTCACCAAATAGTTTTTTAAGGTGTAATTTGATTAAAACGAAACGTTAACAAAATTTCAAATTTTTAACCAAAACTATGGACTAACCCCTTTGGAAAAATGCCAATTTTGGGGTGTTTGAAATCGATGTTTTCATTGTCCAGAAAGGCTTGTTTGCTATATAAGAGGTCGAAGATCGTTTTTTGACGATTTATTTTCACGATCTATTACATGGGAATACAGGGGGTTACCAGGGGTTACATAGGGTTACAGGGGGTTACAAGGGGTTACAGGTGGTTACAAGGGGTTACAGGGGGTTACAAGGGGTTACAGGGGGTTACAAGGGGTTACAGAAGGTTACAAGTGGTTATAGGGGGTTACAAAGAACTATAGAAACTTTTTTCTAACTAGAACGTTTCCAGATACTTTTTCTTGGTTGATTTGGCATAAAAATCGAAGTTGAAGAAATCTTTAATTTTTGACCAAAGTGATGGACTAACCCCTTTTGAAAAAATTCTAACGTTGGGTTTTTCATAAAGAGTTGTTCTTATGATCTTTAAAGACGTGTTTTTTATGTAGAACGTCAACAAAAACATTTTCTAAATCTATTTTTGATAAACACAAAATATGGAAAAAGTTCACCTTTTTTACCAAAATCGTGGACTATCGCCTTTGAAAAAATGCAATTTTGCGTTCTTTTTAAATGCATGTTTATATTGTCTAAAAAGGCTTGTTTACTAACGAGAACGTCACCAAATAGTTTTTCAAGGTGTAATTTGGTTAAAACGAAACGTTAACAAAATTTCCAATTTTTGACCAAAACTATGGACTAACCCCTTTGGAAAAATGCCAATTTTGGGGTTTTTGAAATCGATGTTTTCATTGTCCAGAAAGGCTTGTTTGCTATATAAAAGGTCGAAGATCGTTTTTTGACGATTTATTTTCACGATCTATTACATGGGAATACAGGGGGTTACCAGGGGTTACATAGGGTTACAGCGGGTTACAAGGGGTTACAGGTGGTCACAAGGGGTTACAGGAGGTTACAAGGGGTTACAGGGGGTTACAAGGGGTTACAGAAGGTTACAAGTGGTTACAGGGGGTTACAAAGAACTATAGAAACTTTTTTCTAACAAGAACGTTCCCAGATACTTTTTCTTGGTTGATTTTGCATAAAAATCGAAGTTGAAGAAATCTTTAATTTTTGACCAAAGTGATGGACGAACCCCTTTTGAAAAATTCTAACTTTGCGTTTTTCATAAAGAGTTGTTCTTATGGTCTTTAAAGGCGTCTTTTTTATGTAGAACGTCAGGAGACACTTTTTCTAAATCTTTTTTTAATAAACACAAAATATGGAAAAAGTTCAACTTTTTGAGCAAAATCATGGACTATCCCCTTTGAAAAAATGCCAATTTTGCGTTCTTTTTAAATCCATGTTTATATTGTCTAAAAAGGCTTGTTTACTAACGATAACATCACCAAATAGTTTTTTAAGGTGTAATTTGGTTACAACGAAACGTTAACAAAATTTCCAATTTTTAACCAAAACTATGGACTAACCCCTTTGGAAAAATGCCAATTTTGGGGTGTTTGAAATCGATGTTTTCATTGTCCAGAAAGGCTTGTTTGCTATATAAGAGGTCGAAGATCGTTTTTTGACGATTTATTTTCACGATCTATTACATGGGAATACAGGGGGTTACCAGGGGTTACATGGAGTTACAGGGGGTTACAAGGGGTTACAAGGGGTTACAGGGGGTTACAAGGGGTTACAGAAGGTTACAAGTGGTTATAGGGGGTTACAAAGAACTATAGAAACTTTTTTCTAACGAGAACATTCCCAGATACTTTTTCTTGGTTCATCTTGCATAAAAATCAAAGTTGAAGAAATCTTTAATTTTTGACCAAAGTGATGGACGTACCCCTTTTGAAAAATTCTAACTTTGCGTTTTTCATAAACAGTTGTTCTTATGGCTTTTAAAAGCGTCTTTTTTATGTAGAACGTCAGCAAACACTTTTTCTAAATCTATTTTTGATAAACACAAAATATGGAAAAAGTTCAACTTTTTGACCAAAATCATGGACTATCCCCTTTGAAAAAATGCCAATTTTGCGTTCTTTTTAAATCCATGTTTATATTGTCTAAAAAGGCTTGTTTACTAACGAGAACGTCACCAAATAGTTTTTCAAGGTGTAATTTGGTTAAAACGAAACGTTAACAAAATTTCAAATTTTTGACCAAAACCATGGACTAACCCCTTTGGAAAAATGCCAATTTTGGGGTTTTTGAAAGCGATGTTTTCATTGTCCAGAAAGGCTTGTTTGCTTTTTAATTGTCGCAGATCGTTTTTTCACGATTTATTTTCACGATCTATTACATGGGAATACAGGGGGTTACAAGGGGTTACAGGGGGTTATAGGCGGTTACAAGGGGTTACAGGGGGTTACAAGTGGTTACAAAAGGTTACAAGAGGTTAGAGGGGGTTACAAGGGGTTACAGGAGGTTACAAGGCGTTACAGGGGGGTACAAAGAACTATAGAAACTTTTTTCTAAGTAGAACGTTCCCAGATAGTTTTTCTTGGTTGATTTTGCATAAAAATCGAAGTTGAAGAAATCTTTAATTTTTGACCAAAGTGATGGACTAACTCCTTTTGAAAAATTGTAACTTTGCGTTTTTCATAAAGAATTGTTCTTATGGTCTTTAAAGGCGTCTTTTTTATGTAGAACGTCAACAAGCACTTTTTCTAAATCGTTTTTTGATAAACACAAAATATGGAAAAAGTTCAACTTTTTGACCAAAATCATGGACTATCCCCTTTAAAAAAATGCCAATTTTGCGTTCTTTTTAAATGCATGTTTATATTCTCTAAAAAGGTTTGTTTACAAACGAGAACGTCACCAAATAGTTTTTCAAGGTGTAATTTGGTTAAAACGAAAGGTTAACAAAATTTCCAATTTTTGACCTAAACTATGGACTAACCCCTTTGGAAAAATGCCAATTTTGGGGTGTTTGAAATCGATGTTTTCATTGTCCAGAAAGGCTTGTTTGCTATAGAAAAGGTCGAAGATCGTTTTTTCACGATTTATTTTCACGATCTATTACATGGGAATACAGGGGGTTACCAGGGGTTACATGGGGTTACAGCGGGTTACAAGGGGTTACAGGGGTTACAAGGGGTTACAGGAGGTTACAAGGGGTTACAGGGGGTTACAAGGGGTTACAGAAGGTTACAAGTGGTTATACGGGGTTACAAACAACTATAGAAACTTTTTTCTAACGAGAACATTCCCAGATACTTTTTCTTGGTTGATTTTGCATAAAAATCGAAGTTGAAGAAATCTTTAATTTTTGACCAAAGTGATGGACTAACCCCTTTTGAAAAATTCTAACTTTACGTTTTTCATAAAGAATTGTTCTTATGGTCTTTAAAGTCGTCTTTTTTTATGTAGACCGTAAGCAAAGACTTTTTCTAAATCTATTTTTGATAAACACAAAATATGGAAAAAAGTTCAACTTTTTGACCAAAATCATGGGACTTAAAAAAAAACCCCAATTTTGGTTCTTTTTAAAAAAATGTTTAATTTTGGCTTTTTGAACGAGAACGATAGTTTTTTTTAATTGTAAAAGGAAGGTTTAACAAAATTTAAATTTTTGGTCAAAACATGGATCGTGTTTTGGAAAAATGCCAATTTATTTTGAAACCGATGTTTTCATTGTCCAGAAAGGCTTGTTTGCTATTAAAAGGTCGGATCCTTTTTGACGATTTATTTAGACGGTTACAAGGGGTTACAGGTGGTTACAAGTGGTTACAAAAGGTTACAAGAGGTTAGAGGGGGTTACAAGGGGTTACAGGAGGTTACAAGGCGTTACAGGGGGGTACAAAGAACTATAGAAACTTTTTTCTAACTAGAACGTTCCCAGATAGTTTTTCTTGGTTGATTTTGCATAAAAATCGAAGTTGAGGAAATCTTTAATTTTTGACCAAAGTGATGGACTAACTCCTTTTGAAAAATTCTAACTTTACGTTTTTCATAAAGAATTGTTCTTATGGTCTTTAAAGTCGTTTTTTTTATGTAGACCTTAAGCAAAGACTTTTTCTAAATCTATTTTTGATAAACACAAAATATGGAAAAAGTTCATTTTTTTGACCAAAATCATGGACTATCCCCTTTGAAAAAATGCCAATTTTGCGTTCTTTTTAAATCCATGTTCATATTGTCTAAAAAGGCTTGTTTACTAACGAGAACGTCACTAAATAGTTTTTCAAGGTGTAATTTTGTTAAAACGAAACGTTAACAAAATTTCAAATTTTTGACCTAAACCATGGACTAACCCCTTTGGAAAAATGCCAATTTTGGGGCTTTTGAAACCGATATTTTCATTGTCCAGAAAGGTTTGTTTGCTATATAAAAGGTCGCAGATCGTTTTTCACGATTTATTTTCACGATCTATTACATGGGAATACAGGGGGTTACAAGGGGTTACAAAAGGTTACAAGGGGTTACATGAGGTTACAAGGAGTTACAGGGGGTTACAAAGAACTGTAGAAACTTTTTTCAAACTAGAACGTTCCCAGATAGTTTTTCTTGGTTGATTTTGCATAAAAATCGAAGTTGAAGAAATCTTTAATTTTTGACCAAAGTGATGGACTAACCTCTTTTGAAAAATTCTAACTTTGCGTCTTTTTTTTTCATAAAGACTTTTGTTCTTATGGTCTTTTGACCAAAAATGGACGTCTTTTTTTATGTTCTTTAGAACATCATTGCAAACAGTTTTTCGAAATCAAATAGTTTTTCAGGTGTAATTTGGTTAAAACAAAATTTGGAAAAACTTGAACTTTTTGACCAAAATCGTGGAAAAAAAAAATGCCAATTTTGCGTTCTTTTTAAATCCATGTTTATATTGTCTAAAAAGGCTTGTTTACTAACGAGAACGTCACCAAATAGTTTTTCAAGGTGTACTTTGGTTAAAACGAAACTGTAACAAAATTTCCAATTTTTGACCAAAACCATGGGCTAACCGCTTTGGAAAAATGCCAATTTTGGGGTTTTTGAAACCGATGTTTTCATTGTCCAGAGAGGCTTGTTTGCTTTTTGACCAAAGTGATGGACTAACCCCTTTGGTGTTGTTATTGTTTAGAAAGGCCATTTGACGATCGAGAACGTTACCAAATACTTTTTCTCGGTGTATTTTGCATAAAACGAAACTTTAACAAAATTTCAAATGTTTGGCCAAAACCATGGACTGCAAATTTTCTGGTTTTTGAAACCGATGTTTTCATTGTTCAGAAAATCTTGTTTTCTATAATCGTTTTTTCTCGATTTATTTTCACGATCTATTGTATAGGGATACAGGTGGTTACACGGGTTACAAGGGGTTACATTGTGTTATAGGTGGTTACAAGGGGTTAGAGGGGCTTAGAAAGTATTACATAAAACTGGTTTTCTAACTAGAACGCCTCCAGATACTTTTTCGGTTTTTTTCTCAATGTTTTGGTGACTCAATAATTCAGAAGATAATCTTGCGTCTTAAAAACTTTTTTTTTCCGAATTGAAGCCCACTAATTATTTGGTAAAAGAATAAAAGGAGTCAAGGAAAGCGAAAGAAGATGGGCGGGAAAGAAAGGAAAAATGGAAGTCAAGACTGCTGAAATTTTGCTTTTTGCGCGTGCCCGATGTTAGGAAGCTAATATTTTGCATCTGGATCAGAAGACCGCGAAGTGTATGTTCCGTAAAGGGTGTGTGGGTATGATTAGGTTGTTTTTAGCCAGACAGATATTTAGAAATTTCGCTATTAGCTTCAAAACTCATTTTTTTTTGGCAAAATTCGCAGGAGTGAATGTCTAAGTTTCGTATACACTAGGTTATCTTTTTTTATGGCCAAAAGTTGGCCTTTGCCTCGTAACAATTCTTTCTGATGAAACACTTAAGAAAGTTACAGGGGGTTACAAAATGTTACAAGGGTTGCATGGGTTACAAGCTTACAGGGGGTTACAAGTTGTAACAGGTTGTTACAAGGAGTAACAGGTGCTTACAAAGGGTTACAGGGGTCTAGAAGGGATTACAAGAGGTTACATGGGGTACAAGAGGTTTCAGGGGTTTGCAAAGGGTTATAGGGGCCTGTTTTGTTTTTACGATATAGAGATGACCTTCCGAATTGTGTCATGTATTCACAACCTAGAATGTATGCTGACGACACTAATATCACCTATGCGAACAATGATGTTGAAAAAATAGAGCGTTGTGTTAACATAGATTTAGATAGAATTCGTATATGGCTTGCAGCGAACAAACTTACACTAAACACAACTAAGACAATTTCTGTTAAATGGGTCCAGGTTAAGACTGTCAACGCCAAAAAGGAATCCCATAAGTGTCGACTTTAAAATCCCTGGGTGTTGACAACGATGGAAATCTTCCTTGGGAGTTTCATATTAATGAAAACTCGAAGAAGATTGCTTCTGGCATAAGTGCGATTAAGCGTATTACGTATTTTCTCCCTTTTGAGATTCTTCTTAACGTATACAATTAGCTGGTACAGCCACACTTTGATTACTGTAATGTAGTATGAGGAAATTGTTCTAATAACCTATCTTCTAAATTACTGAATCGCGCCGCTCGCGTTCTAACTTTCTCTAATTATGACTGCGGTACTAGTGAATTGTTTCAAAATTTAGAGTGGTCGAAACTTGTCCATCAGCGCGTAGTTAGTAAAGCAATAATGATGCACAGCATTGTAAATAACACAGCTCTAGAATATCTGACTTTGCGTTTTGTTCGTCGCTGCGATTTGTAGTTATAACCTTAGAGAGAATGAATACAAGCTCGCTGGGGGTTACAAGAGATTACAGGAAGTTACAGGGGGTTAGAGGGGGTTACAAGTTGTTAGAGGGGGTAATAAGGGGTTACAGGAGGTCACAAGAGATTGCAAGAGGTTAAAGGAGGGTTACAGGATTGACAGTTGATCAGTTTTCTCGAAAATAAGTCCGAAGAGTGGTAATTACCAATTTTCTCCTAAACAATTATATCAATACACAATCAAGACAATAGGTTTTGAAAAAAGATAAAATATTCACCAGTAGGAAAAAGGCATTGATCTTTTATCAAATTCTCTCAACTAATTTTGTAAGGAAATGTATGGAGATCAGGTTGCAGAATTTGTATGTGGATGTTGAGGTTAAGGAGAAATCCGCTATTAATCAGGATTATCCAGCCAGTCGTAAATTGTATAATACACGGATGTCATGGGTCGTAGTTAAACGTATCTTTCTGGACAGTTCTGACGTTTGGAAAGCTCCTTGGCTTCACGTTCTTGTCGCTGAAAGCAGCTTAAACGTTAATTCATATATTTAAAGGAAGTTTTCATCAAACTTTTTTAAATATTTTTTCCTTGACAGATAGCCGTTGAAACAATAGCTAATATCCGAACTGTTGTGTCTTTGGTCAAAGAGAAAACATTCTTTGACAAATACGCTCAGGCTTTATCGGCTCCATATAAGTGAGTAACTTTATTTAGTTTTCACGGTATTTTAAATTATATATTCCTTTTTTAAACTTACCCGTAAGAGGTGATTATTTCAGGTTTAATAATCTCTTTCAAGGAAGCCAAGATTCCCTTCTGGGAGCGAAAACGTTTTTTCGAGAGAGCCAAAATTCCCTTCGGGGAACGAGTATTAAAGCGAAAAGCTCGCGTAAATGCGTGATTTGAGACAGATTTGTGTAGTTCTGGATGCAACGATATCATTTATGCCGATTGTAAAAAATGTTCAAATGGAGTAGTAATTCTGACTTATCTTTTGTCTGGTACCTATTAAGCATTAGCAGGACATGTCCCCCTGTATCACTATGTCACATTTTGCAGACTGCATACCCATAATTTTCTTGCTATTTGTCCTACTCTGGTTTCCTTGGGGTTAATTCCATTATGGTTTAGCTTAGTCTGAAGTCTGAAAATGTCAGACGTCGTCCCTGATTTAGGTGAAGCTGTACAGTAAGCCACATGCAGTCATAGACTGCCTTTTTTATATAAAAGGATAGATATTGTGTGTGCCATGCGAAGGGAAGGAAATCTGTAAGTAAGGTAATTAACGGGCCTTTATCTAAAATATATCGAACAGACACACCTTATGGCTGTAGCGTTTTATTTTGTTTAACGCTGAATGAAAATGACAAGAAAACTTGCTGTTTCAGTAGGGGAGTACAACTTAGGGCGAGCAAACAGTAAAAAAGTCAGTTACTGGTTGGAGCAAGACTCGAAACCACTTCCTTACACGTTTCTTTTACACTGTTCGCGGTAGTCTTACCTTAAAACGCGCTTTTTGTTTTTGCAGGAAAGCTTTGAGAAACGCACAACTTGAAGGGATATCTTTCGGCATATCCGAAGCGTTTATGTTCCTCGCTAATGCGGTAGCATTTAAGTATGGAGGCTATCTTGTGGCAGAGAAAGAAATGACCTTCAATGAAATGATGAAGTAAGTTGTGTACTGAACATCTATTTTTTTTTGTTACAACGTCCATGTTGTAATCGTGTGGTTATATTCTCGTGTATGTGTGCAGGTAATGAATGTAGTTCGTTATACTAAACTGTAAAACACAGGGTGCGTTCGATTGGAAACACCGAGAAATCCGCCGTCAACGTGGATTTTATTTAAGAAACTCAACGCCAGGTGTCATGAGCCTATTTTGCTAATGAAGCGTGTGTGCATGCAAAATCGCTTTTGATGAGAACAGTTTTCCCGATTCCCTTCCAAAAAAAGAAAAGAAAACAGAAGAAAAGGGAAGACTTATTTGTAGCTGTTAAATCTGTTTTTGTATGTCACGTTTTATTATAAATTCGAAAATCATCTTGAAGATTTCAAAATCTAAATCCAGAATTCCTCAGTTTGTGGTTTTGTGTCTTGCTCGCATGTCCTGATATTTGCTGTGACTGGTCATGACATAACACCAGGGGAAATACGAAATCACGAAGCGTGGGAATGAGCAATGTGATTGGTTTATCCCTTCGGTTCTGCTTCCAGTTCTAAAAATCTTCATGAGGATGACAAGGTCAGCAGCAGACTCGGAAGAAAAAACCAGAACCCTCCTGGATCTTCCGAATCCGAGTCCGTTGCGCTTTATGATTCCACTTACGATTCCGATTTTTGATCTTCGCTACGTCGTAAGCGCTCTTGCGACCCTACGTCCCCTAAGGTCTTAACGGCCTCTTCATATTGTTTTGGTTGACCGGGCTGGCCCGGTTTCCGAGGTCTCGCGTTACCTCTTAATCCTTCGTAAATTTTTCGATATGTTCATATGAGAGAGCGGGCTGGCTCGGTTCCAGAGGTCTCCGTTTTTCTAACTGGGAACTCGGTGGGCAGCTGAAGCGGGCTGGAAAATTTTCCTTATTAACCCTTTAGCCCGGTTACCGTGATGAAAGCGGGATGAATTCTGCATCGTCTTGCTTTTCCTGCTGTATTTTCCACATCATAATTATTCCATTTGGCAACAGTGCACTACACAGCTATAAGAGTTGCCAAAGCTATAATAGGCGCGAAAGTCATAACTTTGTGTTTCGCCATGTAGGCTGTGTTCCTCGAATTGTGCGCCACAACTCGTCTTCGGTCTTTCGAAAACCGGGCTGAAATTTCTCATACGAACCCAAGGTAAAATTGCTCCCGGTAAACGGGCCAGCCCGGTCAACCGGGCTCATGTGAAGAGGACTTAAGTAACTCTAATTTTTGTCATTGTTAGAGTGGTTCTTGCCATCTTGGTCGGTGGTCTTGTGCTGGGCCAGATCAGCGCCTTCGCGCCAGACTACGTTAAAGCAAAGGTTGCAGCTGCTCGTCTCTTTAAGATCTTTGACCGCAGATCTTTTATTGACAGTTCCTCCGAAGATGGATTAAAACCGGTAAGAGTGTTTTCGTTCTCGGAAAGTTGTCGAAAGGTCGGTCAATGTCTCTACACTCGCCCAGATAATTATTCACCGACATATGAAGCGACTTGCTCAAGTAGTTTAAGGTTGGGAGAAATGGCTTTATCTGTGGAAAATAGTTTATTGGCTATAACGTCGGCACAGATTATATTGCTGAATCAATTTGGCACACATAAAGAACTCATCGCCCTTAAACAGATTGTTCACGTGATGTCACGTGACCATAATTAAACGTTAAGGCACAAGAAGTCCTGGAGATTTATTTTTGGGGAAAAAATCATTTTGTTCAAGGTATCTTAGCGAGATAGATTGCCAATCAATCATATGCTCCGAACACACCTTTGACCCTGGCTGTAAACCCCTTCAGTTGTTCAAAAAACGTACTAGGAACCTTTTAAGTTTAACGTAGACAGGACTACTGCAACAAAATCCCTGACTAGTTGGTTGGGTTCCAGACCTCAAAGCGGTAGGCCTTGGATTCGATTCCTGGTGGGACCAACATTCAGGGTCATAAAATCACTGAGGGAAATGTGCTGCCTTTCTTTCACATCTGATATTGGTTAGTCCTTCCAGTCTTTTCGGATAAGGACGAAACATCGTAGGCCCCGTCGCTCTGCAGTGTCACTGATTTGACTGTACTTGTACTACGCAAAAAAAAACATAGTAAGGACGTGACAATGGCGGACTGGACCTCTTCCCCCGCCTATCCTAGTTGTGTTAGCCCAACCACTCTTGTGGTTTGAGTGTCCCAAATCTAAAATTAATCGAAATGTAGATCTTTTATATCATAGTCTAAATGTAAATCCTAAGTCAAAATAACCGAAATAGGAGTTTATTTCTCTTTTTATACTTGTAGAGCTCTATAACAGGCACCGTTCAGTTACGAGGAGTGCGTTTCCGTTATCCAACGCGTCAAGATGTCAAGGTGTTGCGTGGATTATCACTTTCTGTTCAAAAGGGGCAGAAGCTTGCTCTCGTTGGATCAAGTGGTTGCGGTAAAAGTACAGTGATCTCTCTCTTGGAGAGATTTTACGACGCATTGGAAGGAGAAGTGGTAGGTTTAAAGATGACTTTGCCACAATGAGAAGAATTTGTTCTAAATGAGTCGTATTTCCGCTAAAAGTAAACTGAACGACTTAAGATACACATTTAGTTTCCAGTCCAACACTGTGTAAGGTATGTACGCGTGCACAATAACATCGTGATGTTGTCCCAAATTTTAAGTGGTCGAAGTCGGAGGATATAGACGGCCATCTTCACACCTTCCTTAAACCAGTCCCGTTTTTCCTGTTTACGATTTTATGTTCAAGTCGTCTTAGGAGAGGGGGGGAAAAAGTTTGGTTTCGTCAGTAGAAGTTGTAACCTGTCAATACATTCGCCACTCATTGCTCTCCGTCGCTGGGATGTTTCGAAAGAGAGACCTACGCGGCGACAGGGAGCGATACATGAGAGGCGGCTACAATCGTAGGCTACAGAATTGGCCAGTTGAACAACAGTTAAGTGACGTTTCGTTTAACAATTTGTGATAACCCACTCTCGATTGACAGAAAATGAATTTCACATTTTACAGGCATGTAACTTTTTCGACCTGATTTGTCTTGATCTATAGGCAATCGATGGCAATGATGTTCGGTCCCTGAACATTCAGTGGTTGCGATCACACATTGGCATCGTATCACAGGAGCCTGTTTTGTTTGGTTGCAGCATCGCTGACAACATCGCGTACGGAGACAACTGGCGTGAAGTGGGACGAGATGAAATAATAAAGGCAGCTGAGGCTGCCAACATACACAGCTTCATTAATTCCCTACCCAAGGTAACTTAGACTTTTACATTAATTAACGTTATGGGGATAACCACAAGTTGAAAATATTGTACCTAACAAACTAGGTGAAAGGCGCAGGCAAAAGGAGACAGCAAAACACTTAACCAAAACCAAATGATAAAAAGAGGACAAAGAGAGACGCGTTTTTGGACCTACGACCCTCAAGGAGCCGTTCGAAAACTGAAACTGATCCTGTTACTGGGA